CCCTCTCCCCAGGACTGAAGAGAGCTTGCTGGTGACAGAAGAGAATGTTTTGTGCATGGTGGTGCATTGGGAGGCAGAGGCAGATCTCTGTGAGTTCAAGGCCAGTCTGGTCTACATAGTGAGTTCCGGGACAGCCACAGCTACATAGTGATACCCTATCTGGATGGATGGATGGATGGATGGATGGATGGATGGGTGGGTGGGTGGGTGGGTGGATAGATGGATGAATGGGTGGACGGAATAAAGAAGCACTTCTGGGAGCTTCAGGTGCAGTTCCTAGAATCCACACGGTGGCTCACAACCACCTATAACCCTGGTCCCTGAGGCTTCAACGCCTTCCTCTGACCTCCCTGGGTACAGCTTGCATATGTAAGTATGAGTTCTTATACCACACACATGCCCAGTGTGGCGTGGGGGCGGGGGGAATTCCTAATCTGTGTCAGGTGACTCCCTGAGGCGGCTGAGTGGGGTGGCCAGAGGGTGATGGACAGAGAGACACCTGGCCCTGTCTCTTACTGGAAAGCTAACTGCTCTGTATCTACTTTATCCGACAGCCTGTGAGATTACGAGGCTGATGTCAGCTAGCCTAGGCGAAGGCAGATCGTGGCCCTGGCCCTGCAGTGCTAAGTCCATTTGCCACCTTTGCTGATGCAAGAATACGAGTCTCTCATGAGCGTGCGTACAGGTTTGGCATTTAACCAGCATGTGTCCTCAAGCATTCTCAGGCTGGGTGAGCTGTCACCTCGCATTCTGCCCCGGTGCTCAAATGGCCAGAAAGGTGAGCAGAAGGAAAGACCGGCTAGGTCACAGGTCGAGGACCACCCGCAGTCTGGGCATGTGACTTTGGGGCCCACTCTCCTCAGCTGCCACAAGGTCTGTGTCATCTAGTTCAAAGTCTCTGCTGGGTGGGGTGACTGTCCTCGGCGCCTCATCTGCCTGCCAGGACGAGCTCCAAAACTCAAAGTCAAGTCCCTGGCAGTGGCAGCCTGTGGGTTTTCGTGCCAGTGTGTAGGCCTGGCACACAGGGATCCTCAGTGTGTGGGCCTCTGTCAGCTGTCAGCTGCCCTTCTGGGAAGGCTGCTTTTCCGTGGCTCTTTCAGAAGCTGACATCTTTGCCACGGTTGCTAAGGTGCTTTGGACTACTACGGACCGAAGCCAACGGCAGGGGCAGGGCAAGCTAGAACCGACTTTTTCTGTTGGATGCGGTAGTGCATGCCTGTAATCTCAGTGTTCAGAAGGTGGAGGCGGGAGGACCAGGGGCTCAGGGCCAGCCTCGGATACACAATGAGTGGGAGGCCAGCTCAGGCCCCAGGAGACATGCTCTCAAAAACAGAAACAAACAAAACACCGCCGCGCCCTCCTGCTGAGGGCCTCCTCCTCCTCTCCCCTCTTCTCCTTGGGTGGCTCCCATGGAACTGTCAATCTCAGTGCGAGGGCGGTGGCTCCAGCCCTAAGGCGGAGCATGTCCTAGATCTGGGTGCCCATTTCTCTCACCCTCTCTCACCCCTGTTGATGTGGGGCCCAGTGGGCGTGGGATCCACACACAGCCAATCAGGGATCCCGCAGACATGATTCATCCTTCCGTATGAAAAGCAAGCAGGATCTAGAGGCCCAGGACAGTGGCCCCTCTCCCCAGGACTGAAGAGAGCTTGCTGGTGACAGAAGAGAATGGCATTCATCATGAAAAGAGAGGCAGAGCCAACCAGGCTGAGCGGAGGAGAAGAGCCAAGTTCTGCAGCCTCACAGAAGACTGTGTCAACCTGGGCCTGAAGCAGTTCCATCCCTGGCCTACAGTGACAGCCATCAGCGAGCGTCTATGCCTTTAAGACACAAACATATTTCCCACACAAATCACGTGTATTGGTGTGGGGCTCAGCAACATGCCTTTCCCACTGCTGGGGCCAAGTTTTACTACAGGGGTGGCTGAGCAGCACAGTGGGGTCCTCAGCTCAGAACGGAGCAGGCCGGTGGGTAGAGGTCAGAGCTGCTTGGCACGGCAGGGCTTGCTGGATGCCCTAGGCCTGCCCCGACTGTGGCTTGGAGTCTTCCTTAGTTCCTGACTCCTGAAATGATCCCTCCCTCTCCTACTTGGCTACAATTTTCTTTTCCTTTTTTAGTGCCCACTGGAGTCAATCTCTTGAGAACAGGGTTTGTGATCCTGATCTTTGAAGTCACCTGCCAGGTTCAGATTCTGGCCTGGCCTCCTATTTGCTACAATTCTCGTGATTTCTGATTATCAGTTTTCCCCTCTGTAAAATGGACAGACTCACGGGATCACGTTACCGGGCCTCTTACAAGATGTGGGCACGGAAGTTACCCTGGAACCTGGTAGGACCGGGCCGTGGAAGTGGGGAGGGTTTACGGTGCCTCTTTACCCAGCGGGTGCAGTGGTGCCGGGCCCTACCTCTCGAGTCCGGAAGATGATCCTGTACTGGTACTGAGGCCCATGGTCCTTGTGGTCCTCCAGCTTCTCCCTCTTGATGCTCACGGCCACAGGCCCCAGCTTCTCATCCACACCAAAGTAATTGGCATGCTCTGAAAAGGGAGCGTGGGGAGGTATGGTCAGATGTCTGGAAGGAGAGGGCACAGCCCTTGGCAGCCTCCTCACGGAGCGATTCGAGGGTGATTAAGGGACAGGATGGCAGCCTCACATAAACTCACGGACCCAAGGCCAGTGAAGGGAAACGTCACAGGCCTCTTCCAAGCCCCGCTACTCTCATCTGAGGAACGGGGACTCAGAGGGTACCCACAGTTCAGAGCTGGCGTGTGAGAGCCAGACTACAGTGATGAAAGGTGTGGTGTAGTCACAGCGGCTCGTCGACCCGGGCCGCTGGGATTAATCCTGGCTCCGTGAACGGCTTGCCGGTTTAGCTCCCATTAGCTGTTGTGAATCGGTTAAGCTCTCAGCCTAGGGCGTCTCCTGCCGACACAAATTCTCGGTTGGGATTAGATATCTGGCCCCGGCCAGGTCACATGATGGGATTCTCAGCAGTCAAATGGGCTTAACTCAGCAATGTGAGGATTAATTGAGTGAGCACGGCACCAGGCCGGCACACAGTAAGCATTCGGCTTAAATGCTGGCCATTAGGAGCCCGGGCCTCAGATGTGTTCAGGGCCCTGACACAGATACCCAAGTCATGCCTATGTCTGACCATGCTTCCACAGACCTAAGTGGTGGGAATGCTGAGGGTGATGGCTGTAAACAAGCCCGGGGCCAGGTTTCTGCTCTCCCCTTTTCCCTAGACAAGCCACGGAGAATTCTACTAGGAAACAGTTGTTTCTGATAGTCAACCCTAGCATTGTTTTTTTTTTTTAAACGTGGCAACACCCCACCAGCAGCCCTTGTGACTCTGGTTCAAAGTCTTCATGTTGCCATCAGCAAAAATTAAAGAACACAGCAGATACCTGTCTCTTGTTCTCATCCTGGACTTCTGTGTATTTAACCGACAGTCCCTGTTTTCAGATGCTACTGGGTGAATGCAAGGCTAACCCCCAAAATAATGGGTGCAGACCGATGAGACCAGCGCTGCGCACTGCCTCCCACGGGCGGAAGTTTACTCCCGAAGAGGCTCCCACATTGCTGTTGGTTTTCCCACCTTCGTAGGAAATCCCAGCACAGGGTCAGTGCTCAATGAACATGAAATCAGTCATGAGCCCACATGGCTACAAAGAAGTAAATTTAGAAAGGCTAAATGGGAGCAGACATGACCTTACCACGTTATTCTGTGTCATCTTTGAAAATGCTTCTGGAGACTAACCTGGCCTCACACTGAAAGTCCTCCTGCCTCAGCCTCAACACTGGGATTCAACTGTGCATGCCTGGCAGGAAGTGGCTACCTGTCCCCACCCCTCTGCTGTCTTTCCTTCTTGAGGCATGGTCTTGCCATGTAGCTGTGGTCTACCTCAGACTGAAGATGCAGCTACCTTGGTCTCCTGAGTGCTGAGAAGAAAGGTGTGCCCTGCTGTACCCCGCCTCTCGGTGACACTCCCCACCCCTTACATACTTGTCTGGGAACCCCATGTTACTGAAATAACGGACTGTCATGGCACCTCCTCAGCGTTCTGCTAGCTACGACCTGGACGCTTCACTGTTCCTCTTAGTGCCAATTTGGTTGGGGTGTGGGATCCACTACAATCAACCCCCTTCCCCATGAGGTCAACCTCACAAGCTAACAAGCTATCGGACAGACGCTCTAATCCATGTCCTTGCCTGACTCCCAAGACTACTCTGGGCCCCGTGGAGGACCTAGCTAGCATCCGCTACATTTGGCGAGAACCATTTATCTAGTTTTGGTGGTGCTGGGGCCTGACGCTGGGGCTGAGTGCCGGGTTGTGGCTCACTGTGGCCTCCTGAGCACCAAAGGTGCCTCCGCTTTCCTGGCACCCTCAGTGATGAGACGGGGAGATTACTAAGCAAGTGGGGGTGTTTCTAAGACAAGCTGGGGCACTGGCCGCTCCCCCTCTTCACCTTTGCCCACGAAGTAGTCCTGGTAGTAGCGAGCACCCAGGTCCACGTGCTCAATGCTGTACTGCCTCGGTCGGTTCTGCGTCCTCTGCTGCTCCTTGGGGACCTCCAGCACGGAGATGCTGGCGTTCGTGCGGTGGGTGCTCAGGGTGGGCTCGGTGATGTGGGCCTCACTGCCGCCCCCCGGAGGGCCCACGGAGGCCCGGGAGAAGCTCACGTTGCGCTCCCGCTCCCCGCCGATCTCATTGCGGAAGTGTGGGCAGCTGAGGAGCAGCTCGTTGCTGTTGTCATCCCCCAGGTCCTGCTCCAGGTTCTCCTTGCAGTTCAAATCCTCCGTGCTGGTGAAGGCCGGGTCCAGAGTCCCCAGGCTGTGGGCCCGGGACGCCGAGAGGGTCACCATGGCCGAGGCTGCTGAGGCCGCTGAGGCCCCTGTGGTGGTGTTGCGCCTCTGGGCCACTGACACCCTGTTGGCGGCTGCCTCGTTGAGGTCGAACAGCATGCTCTGCACGTCAAAATGGGCAAAGCTCTTCTGGCAGACCCACGGTCTGCTGGCTTCTGGCGGGCTTCGCCCCTCCTCGGTCTCTCCCAGTCGCCCTACTTCCCCCTCAGGCTTACTGCTCCTCAGTTTCCTGAAGATGGATGAGTCCACGGTGTCTCCACCCAGGCCCCGCACGGTTTTTTTCCGGGCCTTCTCCTTCTCCTTGAGAGGCTGCAGAGTCTGGAGGCTCTCTCTGGTGGGCTGGCCATTGCGGGCATCTCCCTTGGCTCCACAGCCGCCCCCCGAGAGTGTGCCGGGGTCCACCCGCAGGAGCTCACTGAGGTTCTGGGAGCCCCGGGCCTCTGGCTGCTCGCTGCGGAACTCGTTGAGGATGTCAAAGAAACTCTGCTCTGGCACACCCTGCACGTCGATGGAGGACGTGCTGCCGTACTCTCGGAAGAGGGGTAGCACCCCTGGGTGCCGGGTCCCCCGAGGCTCTCCAGCTTCCTCCACGTCACATTCACTGAGGGTGATCTCGCTGCTACTCCGATGTCGCAAGGGGAGGAAGGCCCGGCCAGGGGACCTGGGCCACCCATCCTGGAATTCTACATCTTTGGACCTTCTCCTGGAAAGTCGATGGAAGGCTCTGGACCCTGAGGAGGCTGGGGTGCTGGAGGGGAGCTGTCCATTCTGTAGGTTCCTCATGGAATGGGCCACTTTGGTGGGCTTCATGCCCTCTGTGTCCTGTGAGGGGCTGGGGTTGCTCTGTTCTCTCAGGGCTTCCCGCTTGGGCGGCCAGTCAGCCACCCTGGCACGCACGCCCATCTTGGGCATTGCTGGGGTGGTGGGGCTGGGGCGAGTGGTGGCAGTAGCTGGGCTCTCACTGAGAGGCTGGGCCATGCTGCCGTTCTGGGCCCAGAATCCCATGGGAGTGTAGTCCCCAGGGTGGGGCCCGGGGAGGGTATCGGTGCCCCTAGCCCCACAGCTGGCTGCCAGGTCCACACCATCATTAGGAAGAGGCCGATAGGTGGTCATAGTCCTTGGGCACTAGAGTGCTGCTGCCCCTGGAAGTCGAGGTACAAGTCTAAGGGGTTCCCTGGCCCTCAGCCATTGTTCAGGCCCGCCAGTCCTGGAACAAAGGGTGCTGGCCCCCGAAAGTGCACTTGGAGGTGGTGAGCCTGCAGAGTCCAGGTCTTCACCATCGCTGTGGACAGCGGCACAGGAGCACCCCCAGGAGGCAGCTATCTGTCATCTGGGGCACTGCAGAGGCAGCGGCTCAGTGGGGCAGACAGAGCAGAGGCTGCACGCCGTGGCCTCTGGGTGGTGTAGGAGTCTTCCCAGCCATGCTGTGAGAGGAGAGAAGGAAGAGGGAGATGTGAGTAGTGTACTCTTTTCCCAAAGGCAGGAAACGGGCTTTTTGGGGAACGAGGCATTTGAGAAGACTCATTATTATGGAGTGAGCCTGTCTGCCTGCCCACCCCCCCACCCCCTGTTCCTTTCTCAGACAAGGCCCTGCTACATAGCTTTGAACTTGTAGAGATTCTCCTGCCTCTCCTCCCAAGTGCTGGGGTCATAGGAGGGCATCACTGTCTAGCAAGAGTTTCTGGTCACATAAAAAGCAGAGGTTAGCTCCAGCTGTGTGAGCTCGGTGCCAGCCCTGTTTCATCTGTTCATCCGGCTTTATTTTCTGTGGTCCTGGGGACGGAACCCAAGGCCTGTGCATGCTAGGCAAGTGCTCTATCACTGAGTGACATTCCAGACCTTCCTCCCTGCCCCCGCCATTTACTGTGTGCGTCTGCTCAAGCATGCCACAGCACGTGTGTGGAGGTTAGAGGGCAATCTGGCAGCAGGGAATTAGTTCTGTCCTGCCACCATTTGGATCCAAAGGATTAAACTCGGGTTTTCAGACTTGACAACACATGCCTTTACCCACTGAGCCATCTTGCCAGTCCCTCTTTGTTGAAAAAAATATTTTATGTTTCCTTTCTGCACTCCTGGAACTGGAACTACTCTCCATACTGCAGTCAAGTGCTCTACCACTGGGCTACGGCCAACAGCAGGACGTCATTCCGTCCACAAATACTTTTCAGTTCTCATCTCTAGTAGCTGAGGTCTTTAAAAAGATAAAACAAAACAAAACAAAACAACACAGAACCCATCATGATCTCATTTCATACCCACTAGAGTTCTCAGCCTTCTTTCCTACCCTGAGATACTCTGTCTGCCTGGTCTCTGCCACCTCAAAGGGTCTTTTGTTGCCTTGGTCTGCTCACAAGTCAAGCAAGGTCCCCGATGCTCTGGCGGATGCTCTTCCTGCCTCTCCCACCCCACCACAGCCATTTTTCCTTTGTCCCGTCCACCCCCAGGCTCCCTGTGGCTCCGTCTAACACACTCCCCTTCCCTGCATTTCCGGGAATCTGACGGAATGGCACAGGCTTACTGCCCACCTGCTCTATACTCTACCTGCCCTGCCTCTCTGCTGGGAAGGAAGGGAAAATGATGGGTGGGCAAACAGAGCCCCGAAAGATTCATGGGGAGAAGCTGCAAGAGGAGCCTTTCCAGTGACTAACACACTCAAGCACTTCTCTGCTGCACGCCCCACCTCCTGGCCACCAGCCACCAGCCTGACCCGACCACTTCAGAACACTGGCATCGCCTTCCTGGCCTTTCCAGGGTGCTTCCAACCTGACCTACCTCCAGGCCTGTCACCCTGTTTGCTTTCATCCTATTGTTCTTAGCAGTTGCCACCAACTCAATCTGTCAGCTCTAGCGTGGTAAGGTCCCCTCCCCACTGCAGGGATGCTCTGTCACTGTTAGCAGATGGCCTCATTCTGACCAGAGCCAACCCCTGTCCAACGTCCCGTGGGGAGGGGGCTTCCACTTCTAACACTCCCAGAGTCACCTCTCTTGGTCTGTTCTTGAATGAAACTCCCTGATGGAGAAGGAGGGGAAGTGGCCACCACCCATGGCTGAAGCTGCTGGCTGTCCCAGCGGCCCTGCCTCCTCTTCCTGCCGGCAGCACAGACTTTATTCAGGATAACACAGCGCTGCGTGGCTTGAGCACTTGCATGAGGGGCCAGTAACTTTTCTGGCCCTTGGCTTTGCCTCATTAGCACTCTATTGCTGTGAGAAGACACCATGACCTCAGCAACTTTTCCTTTATAAAAGAAAACACTTAACTGGGTCTGGCTGACGGGGTCAGAGATCGAGTCCACTGTCATGGTGGGAGCAGGGGGGCTTATGGGCCGGATCTGAAGCCTACACTGGTCCTGCCTTGGCTTTTGAAAAGCAAAAGCCCACCCCCAGAAGCACAAGGTTACACCTACTCCAGCAAGGCCACACCTCCGAATCCCTCTCAAGCCATGCCACGTTGCCCGATGACCAAGTGTGACGGTCCGCATGGGCATGACCCACACAGACTCCTGTGTTTGCATGCCTGGTCCATAAGGAGTGGCACTGTTAGGAGGTGTGGCCTTGCTGGAGAAGGGTGCCACTGTGAGGGTGGGCTTGGAGGTCTCCTATGCTCCAGCTACACCCAGTGTGGCACACAGTCTCTTCTTGATATCCGAGGGTCAAGATGTAGCACTCTCATCTCCTCCAGCACCGCGTCTACCCGCACTGCCATTCTTCTCCCCGTGATGAGGACGGACCAAACCCCTGAACTGTAGGCCAGCCCCAACTAAATGTTTTCTTTTATAAGAGTTGCCACGGTCATGGTGTCTCTTCACAGCAATAGAACCTGAGCTTAGACGCCAAGCATTCAAATCTGTGAGCCTACGGGGGCCATGCCTACTCAAACCACCACAGTCCCTAAGGCCGTGCGTAGCTACTCGGGTCAAAGCCCCCTGTGCTTGCCAGACGAGGGAGTGGATGATGCCCTCGTGTGCAGTGAGTCCTGTGGCGGGTGTTTCCTAACGTGTTTATAGAGTGACCTTAGAGGGAGAAGCTAAGAGGGGAGCAAGGAGCAGGTTCATGGCCCGAAACAGAAGACAGGCAGCAGACTCTGAGATGGGGAGATGTTGAGGAGGGAGATGTTGGGGAGGGAGCAAAACACGCCTCTGTTCTGTGGGTGCCCATGAGTGAGGGGCACAGGAACACTCCTTGAGACACCTGGGAGATGATACAGGGGGAAAATCCAGACCCCAGGGAGGAAACAGGGAAGGCAAAAGGGCAGAGGCCAGGGTGAACTACACAGCAGGGGCATGGGCCTCAAGTCCGCCAGCTTACATCATCTTCGTTTTCGAAAGCAACCAGAGGTCTGGAATTTCACTCACTGTCTCCCCATCTGAAAAGCACAAGCAGCAGGGGCGCAGCAGCAAAACTACTGTAAAAGGCAGAGTTAGAGAGGGATTTCAGGGACCCTGTGTCCCGGCTCCTCACGCCCCTGCCCTCCCTGCTTCACATTTCCCTCAGTCTCAAAAACACACTTCTCTGATTCACACACAGCTTCCAAGCCCCATGTGAATGGGAGATGCTGATGTGGCCCAGCATCACAAGGGAAGGTGGGCAGGCGTGGTACGCCTACATGGTACCTCTACATGGTACGCACGGTTGGCTTTCAGAATCATGAGCTTCTTCTGTCTAGAGCCTTGTATGTGACACACAGGTGCTCTACGGCTGAGCCACTTCTAGGCCTCAATTTTCATCCTGCATCTCTCTTCTAAGACAGGCATTCACTATGTAGCTTATGCTTGCCTTCAGCTTCTGCCTCAGTATCCTCTTGAGTCCTGGGACTGCACAAACACTGGGATCATAGGTGTGTTCCATCATGCCTGGCTCGTTTTGTGTCAACTTAACACCAGCTAGAGTCATTAGAGAGGGAACCTCAATTAAGAAAACACGTCCATAAAATCTGGCTGTAGGCAAGCCTGTGGAGCATTGTTTTAGTGATTGATCGGGGAGGGCCCAACCCATTGCACTTGCTACCATTCTTCAGTTGGTGTCCCCAGGGTCTGTAAAAAAGCAAGCTGAGCAAGCCAATGAGCAGCATCGCTCCATGGCCTCTGCCTCAGCTCAAGTGCCTTGAGTTTCTGTCCTTACAGAAGTGAACTGTTAACTGTGAGTGAAATAAACCCTTTCTTCCCCTAGTTACGTCTGGCCAAAGTGTTCCATCATAGCAACAGAAACCCTAACCAAGACAGTAGCATTACTGAGAAACTACAAAGTAAGAGGTAGGCTGGACACGGGTGGAGAGGCTGGGTTGCAGCCTCTGGTGACCAGTGGCTCACACAAGATGGAAATGTTCTTGTTCATATCCACCTATGAACTGACTCTACCAAAGATGTTTCCCAGGATGGTCTGTGCAGAGGTGTGCTCAGTGGAGGGCTGTGTGGCCCAGGTACTACACAGAGGGAGATTTTCCCCCTGAGGTCACACTAGGGCTGGGTGGGACAAATGGTGGCTCGGCTGGGAACCTGACTTGCTGTGGTGTGTACCTCCTGCCAGATGGGCTCCTCCCATGGTATCTGGCTTCTAGTTGAATCTTGCTCTGCTGTAAATACACAGAGATGCTCTACAGGCCTGGGGCTCTGCACAGACCCCTCCTCAGGCATGCAGCTGGGTCTCTCTGTGCTGTTCTGAGCTGAGTGGTGCCTACAGCTTCTGGGGCATGCTGAGTTATCACATGCTAAAAAAAAAACCAAAAACTCATAGGTCTTTCCAGTTTGGAATCTAATTATGACAGATACAGGGTGTATGCCTGTGAACCAAATGGCTAGCCTCCAACAGTGGTGTGCCTTGGACCAGTGACCCAACATCATTCTAAAGTGGGGGAAATTCTGCTTCTCCATCACCACCCTCTAGGCTGAGCATCCCAAACTTGAAAATCTGAAACATTTTAAATGTCAACTAGGCATGGTGACACACATCTGTAATCCTAACGGTATTACAGGTATTAGAGGTAGAGGCAATGAGGATATGGAATTCAAGGACATCTATGGCTACATAAGAACCTTTTGTTTGTTTGTTTAAAGACTTAAATGCCAAAATGATGCTACAAATGGAAAATTCCACTGCTGATTTCTGGTCCCAAGCATTCTGGCCTCCACCCGCATTGCTATTCTTTCAGGAAGCTTTGGAGGGAGTTTGTCCCATCCCCCCTCCCAATTATGGGAAGAGGGCAGGGTGGGCAGAACTTGGGGGAGGTAGTGCATTCTGGAACCAGGAGAGGCTCACAGTATACCTGGGCCTACAGAGCGTCACTCAGGAGGAACACTGGCTTGGCTTCTCCTGAGAACTCTGGTTCCCTCTCACTGGTCCTTACCCACTCTTGCTCCTCTGGCCTCCCAGTGGTTCTGTGAGTTCCCCAACCAAGTCTGGCTTCTGTGGATCCTGGACCACAAATCAA